CCAGCTAACCCACACTACCCCAGCTAACACACACTGCCCCAGCAACCCACACTACCAGCTAACACACACTGCCCCAGCAACCCACACTACCCAAGCTAACCACACTCAGCTAACCCACACCCCAGCTAACCCACACCACTCAGCTAACACACACACCACCCCAGCTAACCCACACTGCCCCAGCTAACACACACTACCCAGCTAACACACACACTGCCCCAGCTAACACACACACTACCCCAGCTAACACACACACTACCCCAGCTAACCCACACTGCCCCAGCTAACCCACACTACCCCAGCAACCCACACCGCCCCAGCTAACCCACACTACCCCAGCTAACCCACACTGCCCCAGCTAACACCACACTACCAGCTAACAAACTGCCCCAGCTAACCCACACTGCCCCAGCTAACCCACACTGCCCCAGCTAACACACACTGCCCGAAGCAACCCACACTACCCCAGCTAACCCACACTACCCCAGCTAACCCACACTGCCCCAGCTAACACACACTACCTCTAGCTAACAAAAACTGCCCCAGCAACCCACACTGCCCCAGCTAACCCACACACTGCCCCAGCTAACACACACCTGCCCCAGCTAACACACTACCCCAGCTAACCCACACTACCCCAGCAACCCACACTACCCCAGCTAACCCACACTACCCCAGCTAACACACACTACCCCAGCTAACCCACACTACCTCAGCTAACACACACTACCCCAGCTAACCCACACTGCCCCAGCTAACCCACACTACCTCAGCTAACCCACACTATCCCAGCTAACACACACTACCCCAGCTAACCCACACTGCCCCAGCTAACCCACACTACCTCAGCTAACACACACTGCCTTAAGCCATCACAGCCAAAATAGTGTTAAGAGTTACCTGTAGTATACTGAAACTATTGTAATTACAGGAAGTTCTCATTATTACTGTACTGTACTTAAGGGAGGAAATGTAATGAAGAAACATTGAGGAATATAAGACCAGGGTTTGTTGGCACCAGTTGTGGAGGTTTTGGTGTTTACAAGTAAAGCTGAATGAAAGGAAGAAGAACTCTGTCTAGTTATGCCAAGACGTTTATAGATGGAGTCATGTGATTGTTTATTTACTTGTGGGTGTAGTTGCAGCTGTGGAAGCAGGGCTAGTAACAGACTATACAGAAAGGTTGAACATTTACTATACAGTTAATGACCTTGTTGCTAGACTGCATAAATATCAAATCTTTAAGTATAGAAACTATTTTAAGAAAACTGTTAATATTGTGTGTGTGTAGATACGAGTAACCAGTATCTATATGAAAACATTAACTTGTGATACTCTAGTTAAACTGAACTAGAATACTTTACTAGAAAAAGGTAGATAACAAGATGAAAGACTTCACTTCTGGCATCAGGTTTTAACCCCATCCACATCACGAGCAATAGTTACACACTTTTTTTTTCTATATTTTATCTTCCCCCCCCCAAAAAATTATACTGTACATGCAATAAGTCGTCTACAAACAGAGATCCTTCAAGAATTCCACTCACTGGTCATCCCTTGTAATACATGACCACAACAGTACTGGGTTATGAGCTGCTTAATGCATTTATTTCTCTTGGTAATGATGTTCACTGTACCTGTTTAGTCATTTACAGTGGCATGAAGTTATAGTCTCACTCTTGTTTAACTTGTGTTCCAGTGTCTTCCCTTATTTGTATTATGTGGCGACTGTCTCAGATCCCGTGGTGACAGTTTTCAGTTCTGAGCAGTAACCCTTGTTAAGGCTATCATTGCCTTTATCATCATAGTGGTGTACAGGTACTTTGTGATTATTTTTTCTACTGTAGATTCCAGAACCAAATTTGTACACACAATGAATAGAGAATTTTGTAATGTAATGTCAATAAATATTTAATTGTCCACTGTGTATGCTAGTTGAGGATGTGAACAAGTACAGTATACAGTACAGTATGTGAATATAACTGCTGTAAAATTTCCTGTTTCTTTCTACACATCCTGAAAGCTCTTATTATTATTTGCCTCCCTCTTCTAAGGTTCCTTGATCCATCACACAGAGGAGTGTAATGGCAACAGATAGATATACAGTGGTCCCTCGGTTAACGAGATTTCGGTTAACGAGTTACCTCCAATAAGATTCTTAAATTCGGTTAACGAGCAACCCCTCGGTTAACGAGTTTCTTACGAGCCGACCTCAACAAGTTTTGGCTTGCACTGGGCGGTCAACCAGCTGTAGTATTAGTCCGCCAATACATTAATCGGTTCTAGGGCTTAAATTCCTTACTATTTTAGTATATATCAAGAAGTTTATACTTTTCAATAATTTTAAAAGTTTAATATTAAATTTTTTAGTCATTTTAACAATTATTGAACATAATTGAAGGTGAAGGTAAAGTGACTAGTTTAATGTGCAGCATCCAGCCTCTTAACACAGCAAACAGGCATTAGTCTCTCTCTGTTTTCACTGGAGGTAACATCTTGCTTGAGACTCTCTTCAACTAAATGCTTTTTTCTGTGTTTCCAAGCAAATTATTGGTCATTTTGAAATTTATTTTACATATTGACAATACATAGCACAGTGCAGCGTTATTTTAAAGAAAATATTCTTTATTTACAACAAGTTTAACTTTGAAAAGCACGTGTTGACATTGTTTGAATTCAGCATGGGGCCTAAGAGATCAAGAAAAGCGATTTCAATCCAAACCAAGCAGGAAATCATAAAAAACATGAACAAGGCATTAGAACAAATGCGCTATGCAAAGAATATGGCATGTCGACATCAACTGTGTCGACAATTCTTGCACAGAAAGACAAATTTAAAGAAGTGAAAGTGAGAGACAAATCTACAAGTGTTTAAAAGTAGATCCCTAATTGCAGAAACTGAGAGGTTACTTATCATCTGGATTAGGGAAAAACAGATGAAAGGTGATTCAGTTTCTACTGAATTCACTTGTGAAAGAACCAGGGAGATTTACGAACATTTAAAGACCGATCAACCTGGTTCTTCAGGCACAGAATTTGAAGATTTTCGGGCCAGCAAAAGCTGGTTCGAAAAATTTAAGAAAAGAAGTGACATTTTTCAGTGTTGTTAGGTATGGTGAAGCTGCTAGTGCTGATAAGGAAGGGGCAGCAAAGTTTTTAGATGAATTTAAAAAACTGATGGATGAAGAAAATTATCTTCCACAGCAAGTGTTCAATGTGGACGAAACTGGGCTGTTCTGGAAAAAGATGACCAAAAGAACATTCATCACCAGAGATGAAGCCTCTTTACCAGGGCATAAGCCCATGAAAGACCTTCTCATTCTATTGCTTGGTGCCAATGCTTCAGGGGATTTCCGACTGAAGCCCATGCTTGTCTACCACTCTGAGAACCCCAGGGTGTTCAAGCAACAGAAAGTGGTAAGAACAAAGCTTGGAGTTTATTGGAAGTCCAACCGTAAGGCATGGGTGACAAGACAGCTCTTTAATGAATGGGCTGTTGAGGTGTTTTGCCCATCTGTCAAGAGCTACCTAACCACCAATAAACTCCCTTTAAAGGCTCTTCTCCTCATGGATAATGCTCCTGGTCATGACCCTGACCTTGCCAGAAATTTGGAGTATCAATTTGACTTTGTGAAAGTGTTGTTTTTGCCTCCAAACACTACATCAATCATACAGCCAATGGACCAGAATGTGATCAGCAACTTCAAGAAGTTGTACATGAAGAAAATGTTTAGGAGGTGTCATCAGGCAACTTCCAATGATCCTGAACTAACACTGAAACATTTCTGGAAGACACAATTCAACATCCTGTAGACTGTAAAATTGATTGTGTCATCATGGCAAGAAGTCTCCACTAGATACCCTCAATTCTTCATGGAAAGCACTGTGGCCATCAGTAGTCCATGATTTTGAGGGATTTGAGGAAGAAACAGAGTTGGACCAGGAGATTGTGTCCATTGGTCAGTCATTGAGCCTTGAAGTGGAGGAGGAGGATGTGGAAGAGCTTGTGATGTCTCATGAGGAGGAACTTACTCCTGATGACTTGAAGCAACTGGATGAGATGTTACAGGTAGAGGCTGACAGTGGTGAGGAGGAAATTGAAAGTGATGACCATATGTCAGCTAAACAGTTGAAAGATGTGATTTACTACTGGGAGAAGTTCAGGGAACTGGCTTCAAAGCACCCAGAAGTGGAAAAAACTGAACTAACTTTGTGTCATGTTGAGGACTCAGTGGTCTCCTTCTTTAAACATAAGTTAATGGTGAGGAGGACAGGTGCCCCACAGACCACAATTGACACTTTCTTCAGTAAAAGGCAGAGGGAACAAGATGCTATCCCTCAGCCTTCCACTTCAAGAAGGAGAGAGGATGTTCATGGTGGAGAATCTGTCAGTCCAGAGGTTCCTGACATTTTCATGGAAGGTGACTCACCTTCCAAGAAGCAGTAAAATGCTTCTCCTCCACCTCCACTTCCTTCTCTTCTCCTTTCTCCTCCTCCACCTCCACTTCCTTCTCTTCTCCCTTCTCCTCCTCCACCTCCCACTTCAAATGCACATCATCATCATCATCCAGGAGCCTTCTACATACACACCTCAAAGTAAGTGAACTTTTCTACCATTTTTGTTGAATTTAGGCAATTTTCGGTGAGCTGGAACCAATTACCCAAAAACCCATTGAAACAATGGTTTCGGTTAACGAGATTTTCGGTTAACGAGCAACCTGCTGGAACGGATTGTGCTCGTTAACCGAGGGACCACTGTACTGTATAGAGTAAATATATTTCTTTATTCCTTTTACCTGTTTTAATTCAAATGATGCCCAGCATGACCATAGGAATTAGATCTTAGTCTGCAGGCATTTGTCCCACATGGTTAGGTTAGGCTGAACCCTATAAGGCGATAAACACACTGGGCCTTAATAACTAATCTCAACAAAATACTACAGTTGTTTAAATCACGTACGGTATGTGTTTCACGACAAGAGGAAAAATTAATATATAAGTTGAATTATCCCATATTAGTTTATTAACTATTCTACAGACTTAACAACACCTCCACTTTCATACAAGTATAGGCATCCAGTAATAGGATCACATATCTTCTAATATGTCTCTATGTTATTTACAATATCATAATTATTTATTATACTTCTTTTATAGAATATTATGCACACAGATGGCACAATCTAGCCAGCTGTCAGCATACTGAAACTGACCACCAGGAGGGGTCACTCTCTTAAACCAGGCCTAGTCAGTGGAATCATTCCTTCATATAATTTAAACTTATTATATTCTACCAACACTAGAAACAAAGAAAAGCATAATAGAGGAAATATCCAAACACAGACAATCACTGACCAAGCACCAGCTCAGAATATCCCCTTATTAATAAAACTCTGCTACGGTATAATGATACAGCCGTCGTTTAACTCGGGAATTCATAAGTATATAAAGCTATTCTCGCCCCCTTGTTTGTGACTTTTTAATTCATTACATTTATGAGCCTTCACAGGATTTTTTCAAGGCAGTAATTCTCCATAAACAACAACAGTGTACCCTGTATATACTGTACAGTATTAATAATCTAATCTTATGGAAAACAGCACAGTTCCATTTGGCAACTCAAAAGCTTAATAACAGTAAGAGATTTAGGCAACAAATTTTTCACTACTTCAGTGTCTTCTCATGGTACAATATTTTCTTTTAGCACAAAAAGTATCGTCTCCTCCCAAAAATAAGTTAAAACAACTACAGTACAGTACTGTACTCTATCCTTCCACAAGTAATTTATTATTTATTTTACTGTACAGTAATTGTGGCATTTCCCTGACCAGCTTCAGCTAATGGTGCACCTCCTCAGCAGTGTTATATGTACTGCACTAACACTAACTTTAGTATTAATAAAACAAACCTCAAGGAGAGAGCCAATTTTCATTCCTTTCATTAAATAAATAAATCCCTGTACTGTACTCTCAATTTTTTCACACCAATCAGCTAATGAGTTTATGAGAAACGTTGTGATTTTTTTAATGTTCTTTTTAATGCCAAATAACAACAAAAAACAGACTGAACTAAAAAGTTTATCTCAACATACAAAGGTCAATATCTTTAGCCAAGATACAAGAGAAATACCATAAAAATATATATGTAGTTTTATACATCAAACTTCTTGGAACAGTGACACATGTTGGTGATAATATATACAGTACTGTATATGGTGAGCTGCACTCAGGCAGTATGAGAGAATAAGCAAGACTTTTTAGTGATTTTAAACCCCCAAAAAACAATGTCCTATGTAGCACTAAATCTTAAATGTGTAATGGTATCCAGGCAGTAAATTCACAGGGTACAATAAATTATAAATCCCAAGTCCATTTTCACACCAATATTCAGCGACTCCTACTGTCTGCTGCTTCATCATCATATGCTTACTGATGAAAACAATTTGACCCCAATTAAGAGACAATATTGAGCAAGGACAGCCCTGTGAACCTGATCTCGACCTCCTCTCTCACCAGATTTAACTGGAGACTAACCACTACTCTACAGTACATGGAAGCAGCAGCCATCATACAGGCTACCCCCTGTCAGCCTGTTATATACAAAGCTGGAGTTAGTGTTTTTCTTCTTACTCTTACGTCCCACATTCAAAAGGTGTGCAGCAGGACATTCAATATTTTCCCTACACATACAACATAATATATTAGCAATGTCTGAGTTCCTTCCTTGGGAAAACTACCCTTGCATGATCTTGATACTCTTGAACCACACAACGTAAAACTTGATTTAGTAATAGCTAAAGTTAACAATATATATAAGTATTCATTTAAAATATATAACAGATACTTATCACAAAGCTTTGCAAGCATTTGAAAAAAATATACATAAGTAAAAAAAAACTGCAACAATGACACATCCATGCACGCATGATAAAACAATGGGAAGAGTCCAAACTATGTATTCATAATAATTGCCCACATTTATCAGCCATATCATCAAAAACTCACTGACTAGTCACATCTCGTTAACAATTGTCGACACACTTTAAATGGTACTGAAAATGAGGTACAGTACTGTATACAGTACTTGGATAAGAGACAAAAGTGCAGCAACTGATGGACACAGCACTTGTCTCCTGTCCTTAAGGTCACCACCGGTGGTTCATACCCAGGACATCCATCCCTAGTTCATCCAGGTCTGAATGGGTACCTAATTTTACAGTTCGGAAAAAGGAAAGTGTTCAAATACAGTGCCAGTCACACAGTCTCTTACTGTAGTGAAAATAGGTTAAGTATATGTACAGTGCTTTATTGGCACCGCCCCTAACAGGCCATCAGACATGCAGGATCTACTTTAACTGCTTTCACGTGTATAATGGAACACAAAGCATAGGTCACAACACAAGGGTCAGAGTTAGTGGGTACAGAATTGAGGAGTGTTTCATAATATGGCTCATTATGACTGAAATCAACAAATTTTAATATTTCAAAATACAATGATCCATTTAAGGAATTAATTTACAGTTTTAAATGGATAATGAACAGACTTATGAAGAAGCCTTTGGTACAGAACTACTCCCAGTGTTGCTTCCAGTCAACAGAGGTTCTTGTTGTATAAAAACTGCCAACAGGGACAGGAAGTTGGTATAGTATAGTACAGTAGTTTTAATATTATCAAAGTAACTTACAATGGGATATGTGTGTACTTGGCAAAACTTTATCAAGCAAGCACATGTCTAGTAAGTTTAACAAGAGGAGACGTAAGGCTGTTACGAGGCAACAAATGTGTATGAGCAATGGCATTGTAGGTGCAGGTAAGACGGCAGCTATGCCAAGCGGTTGCACGTCCTCAAACACGGGAAATGCGACGAGACGAAGCTTTCACGAGACTCACACTTGCCACCCCATCAAGGTTCAGGCAAAACATCAGCCCATAGAAAAAGTTTTTAAGGCACACAACGTAATAAGGAAGATACAAACAAAGCCTGTGGAAGTACAGTACATCACCACAACAGTAGTCTCAGCATTCACATACAGTATTTGGTGCAACTCTGCCTCATCATCATTGAGGGGGGGAATAATAATACAGGTTATACTAATGGTCATGTGGGCTTGTGTAACTCTGAGTGTTGTGTGTTTGCAAGGATTTGTGTTTGTGTATTCACATGTATTTGTGAAAGCATGTATGTATGTATTTATTTTTACCAGTAATTATACAGTACATGTGCTTGTATACTTGTTCAGGTCTAAGTACAGTATATATTTGTGTTCATGCAAGTGTTCGCACGGACGCACACACGCATAGTACAGTATATTTTATGAAATTTAAAATGTATGAAATAAAGATACTGTAAACCTTACATCCACTGAGTTACTTGATAAAGAAAAGCACAGGAAACAAAAGATGGCATTTACTTAAGAGTGAGAGAAACAACTAGAGAACTGCAAATGGCATCACTTAGATTTGCTCATGATAAATGTCTGATTTATTAAAGTATTACCCAATATTTTAATCAATAACTACCTACTTATGGTCAGGCACTGATTCACTTTCTCTATGACTTCCCTTAAACCTAAGATTGACTTTATCAGCATGTTTGTCACTTGGCTTGAAGGTCATTCTGTTTGATGGTATGTGGTAGCCCGGACCCCTCCTCTCTGTTGATGGCATGGTAGAAATGGTCATTGAAGACGGAGGACCCACCGACGAAGTGGGCACCTGTATGTGATGAGTGTGGGAAGGTGAAGTGGAAACAAGAAGGGGAGGAGAAAGAGGGGGAGGTAGAGGAGGTGAAGAAGATAAAGGTGGTGTGGCAGGCATGGGAGAGTGATGAGTAATGGACAGATGTGATGGAGAAAACTGTCGAAGTAGAGGCAGAGGTTTTCCTTTCTCTGCTGTTCCTCTATTGTGTTCTTGTTCCTTGTTGGCAGTATGTTTATACAAATGATCTGAATACTGGTCTATCTTCTTCACCAGTGCAGTATGAATGGGATTCTTCTTCTTGGTAGAGTCTTTGTCGTGTACCATTCGAGAAATGCGCTGTCGGAATGCCGTTTCTGATGCCAGGGGAGGACCAGAGGGAGTCGGTACAGCAAGGGTGTGACTCGCGACTGGTCCAGAAGGAGACGTTAATGTAGAGGAAGGATTACACGACTTCACTGTGACAGTTGGACTGCTCTGTGTAATTGTCTGCCCTTGGTCTTGGGAAACTCTGATTTGAACGGCCTGAAGAAGAATTTTCATCTCATCAGTTATCTGTGGTTGCTCATGAGAATCTGTTGTGACTGACACAGACTCTTGTGGTGCCATACCAGAAGCTTCTATCACCACAAATGATTCACCTTTGCTCCCGGGAGACAGAAGTTCTGCACGAGAAACTGCTACATCACGTGGACACCTCAGTACCGGAGACATGCCTTTAGAAGATTCCACGACAAACATTGGCTGTAGCACGTCCTCTGCGGGACTACATACAGGAGAGGCAAGAGACACAGCTACAGATGAGGGGATAGAATATGGCACCTGGCCAACAGATAAAGATGATGGGATGATGGGGGAAGGTAAAGATGGGATCACCTGTCGCACAACTTCACTCTGAGAAGCTGGCCCCATTGATGAGCCCTTCAGTAACAAAGCTTTCAATAGTGTCTCTTTCTGAGGAGATTTAAGAGTAGTTTCTTTAGTAAGCAACGGCTGCGAAAAATATTCTTTCCGAGAGGAGTTGGCATCTAGGTCAATAATATTCGAGTCAATTGGAAGCACCGGTGACTCTCCAGCAAACATCTGTTGATCCACATCATGGGGAGACTGCTGTAATATTAACTGTGGTAAAGACACTCTTCTTTCAGCTTCTAAACTTGCAGGTTTGTCCTTATAAAGAACTTTTAAATCATCCCTTTGTAAAAAATTGACAGTTTCTTTGGAGAGGAAAGGCATTACAGAAGGCTCAGTGCCATGAGGCTTGGGGAGGATACGCTTTGTCTCGGCGGGCGGAAACACGAGCTTCTTCATCTCCGTGACGGTGCCGCCGGGAGACACCAGGCCGGGTAAATATTCGTGTTTCACGGGATATTTAGGCACTCGGCCTTTTCGGTTCTTTACATAAGCTAGCTGTTCTTTGTGGATCTTGTTGAGATGTGTCCTCAGATTAGACCGCTGAGTGAAATCCTTCTGGCATATATTGCACTGATAGGGCTTCTCCCCCGTGTGGGTCCTTACATGATCCTTCAGATGGACGGAGAGTCTAAAGCCCTTCCCGCACCACGCGCACTTGTACTTCCTCTCCAAGTCCGCCACCTACGGGGAAAACAAAAAGGCTGCTATAGATGGTCGCAAAATCAGCTATATCTTTCTCAGCATCTAGAGCTATGGACTGAGGCCTTGGGTGATGCCCTTCCTCTCAATGTTCTTCTAACATCCTCAAGTGGTTAGTCTATTTCCTCCTCTTATTACTGCATCAGCCAGCCAATTTTTCCATCAAATATTTTCCTTAATTATCTATCAAATGTTTCTTTCAATCAAAATTTGCTGCAGAATTTGAGCAAAATATGGATTCAATATCAAAGAGAAGAAGTAAGACTCACCCAGAGTCAGAAATATAATTTGTTGTGTTCTTTGTAAGTACGTACTGTAGCACCGAACATTGTTTTTTATATGTGCAGGACCCAGTGACATAAGTACATATCTTACAGGGTACAGTACTTCATACATAAGTACATATCTTACAGGGTACAGTACTTCATACATAAATATCTTAATGGTGTACTTATTATCGCTACAATGCATTATTAAATACAAGAATTATATTCAGTGCTATATATATATATGTATATAAACATTATACAGTACAAATAACAGCAATAATGTGCCACTCACATGAAGAAAAAAAATACTGTATTTAGAAATGTACTATAAGTAGCTGAGAGACAAAATGGGCTACACTACAGTATGTTGGAGAAGGAAAGGTCAAGAGGAAAACAAATCTATGTCGTGTTATCTAGTCTAAGAATGGTTTGTCCAGAAGACTTTATAAGAAAGATTCTGAAAACTACCAATAACAAACAACAACATAAGCCTTTCCCAGGAGTTACGAGAGGCTAAAGAAGCTCTACTCCAAGCTGATAATACGGGGGAGGTAAAGACCAAATACAATGGAGAAAAATACCGTAGTGTACATCTTTTAGTAACTAACACTGCTCACATACAACGACCTAACACTTGGAGGTGACAAAACACACACACATACAGTGGGGTATGCTGTAACGAACGGATCCTACTACGAATATTCCTATAACGAACGGTTTTACCTATAAAATTGAGAATGCTATAACGAACGAAACTCCTACAACGAACATTATTTAAAATTTTTTTTTTTTTTTTACTAATTTATTGTTTTTTTATTACAAGTATTAATGATATTCTTTATTTCAGGGGTTTAGATGCATATTTATGCACTTTTTTACAATTTTTACAATTTTATATTATATTTTCCAGTGTAAAGTGGTTGTATTTGGGGGCCTGGAACGGATTAATCCTATAACGAACGAATGCTATAACGAACAAGGTTCTAGAACCAATTAGATTCGTTATAGCATACCCCACTGTACATTTGTAGTCTTATCATTGTTTAATAATGGCAACAGTTACCTTCAGCACAGCAGGTAGGGTGATAATTACAGTATGCAGAAAGCTCTCCTCTCTCACCATGATTTCAATGTCTATAACTAACCTAACCTAACCCAAACCAACCCTTCTCACACAAGAGGTAGCAAACCCTACAATAGAATAACTGATGCTAAAAACAGTTTCATCTATTTCATTTGCAGTTTAACTTCACTAAAGCTTTTTCTTCTTATTTAAATGACTACAGTATCCATATCTTAATCCTCATCCCAATCTTTCCAACATCAGTACCTAACCCAACCCAACCCAACCCACCCCACCATAAACTAAAGTGGACAACATAGTCATTTTATTCTTTGATGACATGAGTTCATTACTTTCTTTAGTTTAAGCTCACCTCCACAGACACACACTCCAGCAATACATCACACACGCTGTAACACTAGACTTGAGTCCGTAGTTATGTTGGGGGAAAAATATACGTTTAAAATACGGAATAAACATGCACAGTAAGGTGAGCTATGAGGCCATAGACGTTTCATTACAGACATAAGTACAGGGGCCCCTAAAATTTGCGGGGGTCAGGTTCTCAAAATGGCCGCGAGTCGCCAAATCAGAGAATAACATTTAACATTTGCTGACAGGAGGAAGGGAATGGGGGGGGAGGAATACATTTTTACTTGTGTACAAAGAAATGTATATTCCCTTTATGTGTTTGCCCCTAAGACAATTACTTCTTTTACCTGTATTGTGTATGTATGTCTATACACACACACATATATACAGTACAGGTAAAGGAAATTACTGTCTCTAGGACGAATGGCTCCTTGTCCCAACCGCAAAAATGGCGGCAACTTTAAAACTACCCACAGACATTCTTGGGTACCTCCAGGGTGCCATCCGCGAATAATAGAGGACCGCCAAGTAAAAATCCACGAATTTGGGGGACCCTCTTTATGTTCACGTCTTTTCTGGTTGTGGTGTTGTGAATCAAAATATTAATCTACTGCATACAATTTACAGTACTTTTGTTTTGTTACTACATCTCTACTGTAGTGCATATCAGTATAATTATGCATTGATACACATTATTTTCTAATATGTTCCAGTTATCAACATATGAAATACAGTACATTACTATTTTTGTCTACCACAGACCTACCAGAAGACGTGAACATATTACGGTAGTTTCCTACTGCGGTCTGCATGGTGTTTAAATCTTCCACCAGTACAACACATCTTGGTGTCTCTCTCCCCACCAAACTTATCCCATAATATAGTACAGAGGGAAGCACTACACTAGACAGGTGTGATATACAGTATTTCATCCAAGCTCAATTATATTTCCAACATTTTGTTTTTCTGGGCAGTTTTGTGGTGACTTCTGGCTTTTGCCCCAAAGTGCCCATTATTACTGGGCCTAATGAAGATTCACCACACCCAGTACTGCTTCAATCATACATGGCACCCAAGCAGGAGGCCAAGAAACCATTATATATGATTCTAGAGACAAGGATGAACCTTCCACGCCTAATATCGGCAATATAAACGAAGATGGTGATTTTCCTCAACATTTAACGAGTGAATCTTAAAGAGAATTTGAGTGACAAGGATGAGGGATATGGTGGCTGGTGGTGGTGGGGCAGCTTCCATAAACAAAGTGTCCACCCACGAGGCTCCCACATGGGAGTGGAGAGATTGTTTGTTCATTCCCTCGATACTTGAACTTTGATGGTGTAAATAAGAGTTCATGGTTTGATTCAAATGTTTCAGGATTTTCTTTCTTCAATATTCCCCATCCAGTGGGTAATGACCACAAGTTGTCAGTACTGTCCTCAAAGGGTTAACAGAATGTATAATATTATTGGCATATTTGGTTTCACATAAGTATTTAGTTTTTCTTAGTAAAGTACATAATACAGGATTATGCTCTCCTAAGTTTGAGAATGGGGTTAAAGTCTTCAGGCGCTAGTAACCTGAACATCAAGTGGTGAGTAACTGAGGGCCACCCACCCACCAACAGCATGCTGACCACAGTTGTAAAGTAACTAAATAAATGTTACTTGAATTCTGTACTTGAGTAACATTTTTGGGTATTTACTTTTTAAAAAGTACTCAAATTTTTTAGTACTTTTACTCCACTACAATTGGAAAAAATTTTACTCGTTACATGAACCAAAGAGTTTTAATGTCTGTGGCAAATAAAATCATGTATTTTTTAATTATACATTAACCATGTGGGTGGAGGTATGGTATTGGTGGAGCAGTGATGAGACACCACATCAGGTCAGGTGTCCATTAGCACCCAGTCTACCCTCTTAACCTTTCCTTCAGGGTCTTGGTCTTCGTGTTACAGGTCAGTTACTCTTAACTGCACCTTTACCTCACATTAGTGTCAGAGAGAGAGGCTGTTATTCTAAATGTTTTACATAATTCTGTCTTAGATATAAAGCCTCTATCTATACTATGTGTAAGACTGAGTGTATTTAAAATTCTGTGGACTATACTTGTGTAGATAATGAAGAAAGTGATCATAGTGTGGGATGGATATATTTTCAGCACGTTCACTTTCCCTGCGATGGATTGTAGGGAGAAGAGTGGCTGAACATATTGTTTCAGTAGGTCAGGCTGGGCTTATATTTAGGACTAAAAGATCCTGATTGGACAGCCACAATTTTGATAATCAGTTATTGATTAATCTTAATAGAAAGATTTGCAAAAAACATATGTACAGTAATGTTGTCACTTTTATCTTTAGTTAACAAAAAATTATAATTGACCTAATAGCTGTAAAATTTGGGGATAGATTACCTGTAAGGAAGGAGCACCAGGGTGAAGCATAAGACATATGTATGGAGTTTGTGGTTACCCATATTATCTCTTGTAAAATAAGGCAACATTATTAAAGATGCCACTTTCATAGTTTAAGCCCAGGCTGCCTCAAGCCTCACAATATATCATCGTGGTTTAAATTTCCATATGAAACATAGTAACTAGTTTAAGATATCCCCCAGCCTTGTCTCTCACCTTCAGTACAATGCTGGGTTTAGTTACTGGCAGCCTGTTGGTCATGTAAACCTGGATGTATAAACTGTTCATCCTGAATACGTTCCTAGCAGAGCCTACAGCCAAGGTGACCTCATAGAGGGTTGGGCTTGACATACTCTCCCCCATAATGTAAGACAGGTTTGATTTATTTACCCATTTGGGCTCTGTATGCCTTTCAACTCTCCGTCCCTATCACACCATCAGTGTAAACAATGTCCGCTACAGGGGATGAGGTCTCTTTTGAGCCTCGTCCACCAATCAGCACACTGTTATGTCATAATATCAATCTGCCAAATTAATTTCAATTCCATATAACCAATTCAAGAGGTAGTTTACCTGAGCCACTTGGTTATGCGCTCCACAAACAAACACAATCTTGGGCTCAATCTTCCATTTCTAGAGAACAAATTTAAGCCCATCAGCTCTTGTTATCAAAAGGCAGCTAAAACAAGAGGGTGATGCTACAACAACTCCAGGGGTTAAACATATAAACACACCCTAGATAAGTAGGCCTGGTTTTATTTTGTCATTACATAAGCTGTGTAGGTGACGTCCCCCAGTAAACAGTTCTTGGGAGTTAACTTCAAACATTTGGGACACAAGAAGTCATCAGTATCCACAGCCTC